GCAATTGCCCTTTAGCGAGCACCCATTAAGGCGAGATGGGCACACGAGGGGGTGGGTGGCCAGCACCACGCCCGCAAGCCACCTTTTGCCACCCCTAGTGCTAATAGTTTACACACCGCACCATGCACTCACTGAAGGCCGAGTCGACCTAGGGGGAGGCCAATGAATGACTGGTTCAGACATTGGTCGCCGATGTCGGCCGCGAGCGGGGATCGAACTCGGGTCGTCGGGCGCTTAGTGCGGTGCAACCGACCACTTAGGCCACGGCTCCCCGCAAATTCGCAAGCGCGTGCACACACGCAGAGAGAATGAAACATGCAAAGTGTGGAGCGGGGGGGGGGGGTGTGATTCGAGGTTGTTGCTGCAGGGGGGAGGTGGGGGTTACGCGAGGGGATGTCGAGTTATCCTGGAGGGCGAGACGGGGTTTTACCGACCCGCGCGTCTCCAGCGGTTGATGGATTCATGTGCGCGTCGCCATGCAAGACCCGCGCGGGGTAAAGTTGTGCAGCAGCTGACACCGATTAGTAGAAATGAGAGCAAAAGGATGGAGATATGCAGAGGGGTTCGTTTCAAGAGTTGAACTTTATTCCACCGTTTGATCCCGATCTCACTCTCTCTCTCTCTGTGCCCTATTCAATCGCGGGCGTTTATCTACAATGCTGAGAGATCTTTAGGGCCAGGTAAACAGGAGAAGTCCCCGCACACCACAGAGACAGAGAACCCCAACCACCACCACCCCCTCCGCCGCGGGGAGAGAGAGAGAGACAGCAGGAAACCGAATACCAACGACGATGCAACCATGCGATGCATTGACAGAGCGTTGCTGAGAGAGGCCAGCAGTTGATAGAGCAATGCATGATCGGCAGGGACACGCTCGACCCCTCTCCACCACCAACACCACAAGAGATAGGAACGTCTGGCTGCCCCCCCCCCCCCCGCTCAACCAGGGCACTTCTCATTAACCAACGCCACTGCCACGAATTTATTGTTTGCGGATTAAACGAATGCTGCTGGGAGGGAGGTATGGTGTTAATTTTAAGGCCACACACAATAATGTTGGTTTAGGTTTTTGTCGTTGAGTTGCTCGTGCGTCGCTGCCAATGCAGCAGCAGCAGCATCGCCAAATAACTTGTTTAATTTGGGTAACCTCAAGCAATATATCTTCGGTGTGGCTTTATCGTGATTTACAAGGGCCACGTTTCAGTTTGGTGCACGTGGTTTCATTTCCTCCCTCCGAACCGCGTTGGAGCTACCAACCACGCGCTGGTCACGGAGTCCGCTTGCCAATAACGTTTACAGCGTTTGTTTAAAGCGACCGCGGCCTGCTGATGAAGTCCAGATTTAGTGGAAACCATTTCAGAATAAATAAATAAAAATATTAAACTGTTTAGAAAATTCTTTTTGGCCCGGAACTGAACGTTGACCAATTCATGAGGCCGCATCAAGTCAGGGATGTGGGTAAAGTTTGGAAGAGTTAACCAAAAGCAACCTCCATATAGAGGGCCTGTCTCTCTATCGTTCCCTCTTGTAGAAGGCCATCTGGCAGCAAGTGGCGTGAGAAGGAGATTGCAGGGGCTGTTCCTTTACCGTAAAGGGGGTGAGGGGGGTAAACAGAGGGGGGGGGGGGGGGGGAGGGTTCCTCAATTGAATTTCTCACGAGAAAACCTGCTTCGACTCGGGCAAAACCAACGTCGCCAGAAGGAGGGGGAGGGCAGCAAAGGAATACGTCCAAGTGTCGTGTCTGATTGGGGCTTGCATCAGAGTTCTTCACAAACTCGAGTGAACTTTGTAAACATCTTTTTTTTAAAGCGTCCCCCCACCCCCCACTAAAAAGATACAACTTAATGTGGGGGGCAATTAGATTTTTTACTTATCCCTACATATTAGGTTTAAATATTTTTGTTATTATTGGTTGAGTAAATAAAGAATCATTGCTCGGGGCGGGAGGGTTGTGGGCACAGCGATGAACACCCCCACATCAGAGGACGACACTTGGGCTGCCCCGGCTGGGTTGGTTTTGCCAGAGGAGGAGGTGGTACAGCCCTGGGAAGTTTGGGGGGGAGGGGGTGTGCAGTGAGAGGGGTGGGGGTCGTGGGGGTGGTGACGTCAACCCATGGATAATAATAGCGCCCCCTCGTGGTCAATGAGACGCTCACACTGAGCGGCAGAGCCTCACCACCCAGGCGGTGCAATTGCACCGGGAGCCAATAGAATGGGGGAGACCATCACCAACCACCGCTGGCGCCTGCTACTAGGGCTTGCCAGGTGCTGTAGGCGTGGGGGATTTGTATAATGGCCAAACATCCCAAAACGTAGTAGCAGCCCTGGGCAAAGGATCAGATTAAACACAATTCCAGGCCACGAAACGGTTGCTCTGGGCTGCCGTGGTGAGAGTCGGCGCGCTCGTCCGCCTGTGACGGTGCCAGGCTAGGTGCAGGCGGCGGCGCCGTCCGGCTGCCACCCGATTCACGACCACCGCCGTGGCGTGCGTTGTTGCGCGCGTGCCACATCGATTACCGCTCGCGTGTCAACGCAAGGCCCAACACTGTGGCCGTCGGTCTACGGATTATATCACCACCACCGCCACCATCACCACCACCACCGCCGCCACCACCACCACCACCACCGCCGCCATCACCACCACCATCACCACCAGCACCATCACCACCAGCACCATCACCACCAGCACCACCCTAATGGTTGGGGGCACAGCGGGTGGGAGGGTGCGTGGGGGGCATGAAGGGGGAGGGGGGCAGGGGGTCTCTGCTAAATACGACCGATGTTAATAACAGAACTATAAATTACGTGTAATATTTATTTTCGTTATTTTTCCTGAAACTTGTGATATATTTGTCGTTGTTGTTCTCCATTTATTTCATATTTTAATAATATAAAGTTGATTTTGATCATGTTTTTTTGTTGTTAAATCAATCGATTTAATCACGAGATAATGCAGAGTGTAAAGCACCAAGGAGCCGCCATCGCGATCGCCACCGTCGGTGGCCCAACTCCGAAGACACCGACAACCCGCCACGCGCGCTGCTGCTGCTGCTGCTGCTCGGCTATTGCTGTGCGCGTGTTTTAAGGCATGATACGGGGGCTTAAAAATAAAAACAAACACAAACGGAACGTGAACACAAAAAAAAAACCACAACGTGCAAAACAATCGCACCGCGGTGAAGACGAGATTCGAAATATCGACGTCCGCCGCCATCCCCCCCCCCCCCGTCGTCGTTCCAACGGCTGACCCAGAGCGGTGAAGTATGACCCGACAACCGCCCACACCCCATGACCACCGACGACTGCACACAGCGGGGCGGGCGGGCGAGCGAGCGCGGGGGGGGGGGGAGTTCGTGCAGCGTCGCGTGACTGACTGACCGGAGGAGGGGGGCGGGGGAGGACCGGTTGCAGCAATGCCTGCAAGTGATTGGCGGCGTACGTGCGGACGGGTTAAGAAAGAAGGGGGCAGGAGATGGTTGTGGGGGGGGGGGAGTTTGGAGAAGGAAATATTCTACAAAAAACCACGGACCCTCCGGCAGCGTGGCTCAGGTGCCGTGTGGCTCGGCGTGGCTCAGCGTGGCTCAGCGTGGCTCAGTAGCCGCATGACCCAGTGGCCGCGTGGCCCGGTGGCCGAGCGAGCGGCGAACGGAAGGTCGTGAGGTCAAATCGCAGGTCGGGCGATTCTCACCCGTCCTAGGTTTGTTCGCAACGCCGCCGTCACCGCACGCGATTAATTTAGTCGTGTTTTTTTATTCTGGGGGGGGGGGGGGGGGGTGCTAAGGGGGGGAGGAGAGAAGATGCCTGCGCAGTGCACCGCCCAATTCGGAGTGCGACGCACGAGCGGAGATGGCGAGTACCCTGACGTCGATTCCAGCAAGACGCGCTGTAGAAAGCCGGCTGTCGTAACAAACGCATAGCGTAGCTCTCGCGCGCGGTTTCCGTTCGTGCCGCTCGCCGTTGGGCAGCGGACACGAGTGGAGCTCGAATTCAACTTGACGGCCACAGCCTAAACAAAGACTGGACACGTCCGTCAATAATAACAGCGCGGCCTTGAAGGGGGGGGGAAAAAAAAATAGGTGACCTCTCTGGCCTCTCCGATGTACTCTGAAGAAGGACAACTGCCTATTGTATACTTTTCCTTTTAAGGACACACACACACGTGTTGTTATTGACGAACGCGTTGAGTTTTGTTGTTGTTTTTGTTGTCTCCGCTTGTGCACCACCGCTAAAGCAGCAGCGGCAGGTTGCTTGATCGACTCCATTTTAGTTTTTACCCCAAAAAGATGCTTCCGGCACGTGAACCGAAACGTCAGACATGGTGCCGAATAACACGCGGCACAACCCGGGATCGCATCGGAGATATCATATATACACAAACACATACCTACATATAAAAACACACAAACAGAAGCTACCTTCAGAAGTTCACGGCCTTGAGAATTTAAAAAAAGAAATTCATCGCAGCGGCGGGGAAAGCGCGGAAATGAGGGACACGGACGGCGCGGTGGGGAGCGGTTCCTGTCGGAAGTTCATCGACGGACGACGATGAGCACGGAGCGAGCGGACGGAGCTACGTGGACCGGAACAGCTGGGGCTGGTTGCGCGCTCGCTTTGGCTTTGCTTGTGGGGGGGGGGGGGGGGGGGCGGGGGGTGATGGGGGGAGGGGCGGAACGTTCACATGGACGGTGCTCCCAGCGACGCGCGCGTGGGAGAGGAGTGGGAAGACCCTGTCACTGAAAACCAACTTAGCAGCACAACGCCGCAAAGGCATGACGGGACGATTACCGGTGTCCGACCGCGATCCTACGGCTACGCCAGCCGACGGGTGAGGATGAGGAGCTAGAGGCAAGTGTCGCCGGGCTTCTTGTGAGCGCTGCTGCGGAACAAGACGGCCTCCTTGAGACGGTCAACGCCGCCACCACCACCACGAGAATCATCGTCATCGTCACGGTGACCGCCGCCGCCGCCGGGGCCGTCCTCGGCGCCCGACCCGGCCCTACCGTTCTCGAGCGCGTCCGAGCTCTCGTAGCACCCCGAGTCGCGCGGAGTGTCGCCGTGCTGCTGCTGCTGCTGCTCCAGGTGCTCCTGGGAGCCGCGCTCCTCGCTCCCTCCTGTGGCGACGACAGCGGCGACGACGGCAAGGGCGGGGGTCGAGGGGTCCCGGGGCCGAAGGGTCGCGGGGCGGTGACACGGACACGCTCGGGTTAGAGCACGGGGACGGCGAGCGAGCGTCGACGCTTTTGCCTCACCCATCGCACTTTGTTCGACTTGACGCACGCACCGCCGCGGCCAACATTACCGTGTGTAATTGTGTGGAGCGGGGGTGCGCGCCAGGGGCGGATCGGCGGCCCTACCATCGTAGTCCTGCAGCAGCTCGGCGGCCGTGAGCAGCTTGGCGCGCTGCTCGGGGTTGGTAATGCGCAGCTCGTCCAGGTCGCGCTCCTCCACCAGCTTGAAGGAGTTGAGGTCTTCGTAGCCGTTGAGCAGGAAGGCCGGGATGTGCTCCTGTCCCGCGGGCAGCGGGAGAAACAAGGACGCGTTGCGTGCATGGGCGAGCATGAATGGGCGCGCGGGCGTGCGTACACGCGCGTGTGTGTGTGTGTGCGTGCGTGCGTACAATCGTGTATGTGCTCTCACATAGGTGGGACGCACACATGCGCATTTACGTGTGTGTACAAAAACGCGTACGCGCACTTCCACGTGCACACATACAGACACACATGGAGATACATCACTCATACACCATGTCCCCAGGCCAAGGAACTCCGCAACTCCCTCCACACTGCTATCTGAACTTTACCTTGTCCGTGTCTGTCTGTCCGCCTCCATGTCTGTCTCTCTCTCTATTTCAGTCTATATTTGTGTCTATCACTCCCTCTCTCTGTGTTATCTACATCCCAATAAATCTCTCTCTCTCTCTGCATCCCTTTACATTTCTCTACATCTGTCCACATCTCTTTCACCATCTACAACTTTTCTCCACAACTCACAACTGTCCCACCTGGCCAGCCCCCGTCACACTCCCCGTGCCCCCCCCCCCCACCCCCCATGGCCCCACCTGAAGGCCGATCCTCTCCAGCAGCTCCTGCACGGTCTTAGGCTTGGGCCTCTTGCTCTTGTTGCGCTTGGGCCGCGGCTTCTTCTTCGCCTTGCTCTCCGGCTCCTCCAGGATGACGTCCACGTAGATGAACTTGAAGGTGCCGACCTGCGGCCCCCACAAATAGGCGTCAACGGGACTATCGTTCACCAAAGTGTGCTCCACAAGTCCCGGCGCACGGCCGTTCACGACCTTGCCACCCCCGCCGCGGGTAGCGTCGGGGCCACGAGGTTTTGGCCCCAGCGCCTTCGGCGCGTGACGGCGGAGTCACAGCGCGATGCGACGCAGCCCGGTGCGGCGTGGTGGACGCTGAGATGTGATGCGGTGTGATGTGCCGTCGGGTCTCTCACCTTGTTCGCCAGCATGCCCATCCATGTGCCCATGGGTGGCTTGCTAATGATTTCGATAATGTCCCCGGCCTGCAAAGACAAAGACCACCCATATATGCTTTAACAGACTGTTTGGGCGAGTGCTGTTAGCGAGCTCCGGTGGTTGGGCCCTACGGCGACGGGAGGTGGTGATTGACGAGAGATTATTTGGAGAAAGATCGACGTGAAGAGAAAGGGCGCGGACGCTCAACAACGTTCATCAAGGAACGGATGAAGAAAGCAGAGGAGGTCTGGGCCGAAGGCAGCAGAGCATTGTCACGAACGTTTTCGAGGATGATGACGACGACAACTACGGCGTGCAGTGATATCGATAATGACGACGGCGATGATGAGCGACGACCACGGCGGCGAGGCCGAGCGCACCTTGAGCTTGAGTGAGTCGGAGTCGTAGGGGCTGGGCGTGAAGTCTGTGTGGACACGTGCGCGCCCGCAGAAGGGCCCGTTGTAGGCCGCCTCCTCCTCCTCCGCCTCGTCGGACTTCACGCTCTCGCGGTTGCTCGCCGACGAGTCGGTGGTGCTCACCGTCTGCCCGCCTGTCGCGCGCGCGTCACACACGCGTCACGCACGCGTCACGCACGCGTCACGCACGCGTCACACAAGCGTCACGCACGCGTCACGCACGCGTCACGTACGCGTCACACAGGCGTCACACAAGCGTCACGCACGCGTCACGCACGCGTCACGTACGCGTCACACAGGCGTCACACAAGCGTCACGCACGCGTCACGCACGCGTCACGCACGCGTCACACAGGCGTCACACAAGCGTCACACAGGCGTCACACAAGCGTCACGCACGCGTCACGCACGCGTCACACAGGCGTCACACAAGCGTCACACACGCGTCACGCACGCGTCACACAGGCGTCACACAAGCGTCACGCACACGTCACGCACGCGTCACACAAGCGTCACACAGGTGTCACACAAGCGTCACACAAGCGTCACACACGCGTCACACACGCGTCACACACGCGTCACACAGGCGTCACACAGGCGTCACACACGCGTCACACAGGCGTCACACAGGCGTCACACAGGCGTCACGCAAGCGTCACGCACGCGTCACACAGGCGTTACACAGGCGTCACACAGGCGTCACGCACGCGTCACGCACGCGTCACACAGGCGTTACACAGGCGTGACGCACGCAGTACACGTCGTTGTATTGTTTGGAGCAACAGGCATGGTCTACTCATGCGAAGGAGACAGCCTACTTATTAAACGTTGTTATTTTGAGGCCCGGTCACGCATGGATGTGTTGAGTATTGCTCTAGAGCGTTGATAGGGGCCAGGACCCCCATGGCGTGAGGAGGAGTGACCCTACCTGGACTACCACAGTTCAGCAGGACTGCTCCCAGTGAGCCTGACTGATCGTGGAATCCTGCGCACCAACAGCAGCCCAGAGTGTTTGCGTGTGAACACTGGTGGGTGGCGGTGGTTATGATGGCGGTGCGTTGGCCCTCACTCAGCGAGCTCCGCAGGCTCTCCATGGAGCTGCAGGACGTCAGCTTGGGCCGCTCCACGGTGGCCGGCTCCGTGCCCGGCTCCGTGGGTGGCGGTACTGGCACCGTCGGGTCGTCCGTGCCGTTACCCTGCCCGGGGGGGTCACGCACGGGGGGAGGAGGGGGGGGGGGTCACGTCGGACCACGAACCACGCAGGACCACGAACACAAAACCTCCACGACACACAGCTCATCAGCCAGCCCACCGCCCACACTGCCTGGCCTCGACTACACACAGCTCATCAGCCAGCCCACCGCCCACACTGCCCGGCTTCGACGACACACAGCTCATCAGCCAGCCCACCGCCCACACTGCCCGGCTTCGACGACACACAGCTCGTCAGCCAGCCCACCGCCCACACTGCCCGGGCTTCGACGACGCACAGCTCGTCAGCCAGCCCACCGCCCACACTGCCCGGCGTCCACAAACGCCCACCTCCTCCTCCATGACGGCCTTGATGTACATGCGAGACATCTTCTTCCTCATCGTCTTCTTCACGTTCTTCACCGTCTTGCCGAGGAAGCCGCTCGTGCTGTGCCGGGGCGAGGAGCCCCCTCCTCCCCCACCTGCGTCGTCGCCCGCCATGGCAGCCGCTCCTCCTCCTCCTCCGGACGCCTCGTGGTTCCCCGCACCCTGCCCACGAGAACGTTACTCGGTTATTTATGATTAATTATGATTATTATCACTCTGCGTTGACCCCGCAAAGGCAAGCGTCGCTCGTGTCCCAAGACAGACTCGCACGCACGTGAACACACAAACACACACACACGAGAACACACAAACAAATATCCCCCGTATAGCCTGAACAGATAGTTGAGACAAGTGCTATTAGCGAGCCTACCTATGAAGGCCGACACACAGCCTTCTCCCGAGCGGTAATGTTTACACGCCGCACCAGGTACTCATTTTGAGGCCGAGTTGACCTAGGGGAGGCCCAGGACCGGTTCAGATATTCGCCACTTATTGGTTATGAGCAGGAATTGAACTCGGGTGTGCCGGGTTCGTAGTGTGACGTGCTCGCCGCTACATAAACACAACAACCGCCATTCACCGATAAGTGGCGGTGACGTCACCACGGCGTTTGTGCCAGGCTAAGTGCACTTTAAGGCCACGTGAAGTGTTGAACGCCTGCTGGCAGGAGGTCACAAATAAACAAAAACAAGGTTCCCCTGTACAGCCTGTTGGGTCACGTGCTTTTAGCGAGCACCTATGAAGGCCGGAATGGCAAATGAGGGGGTGGTTGACCAGCACCATTCCCCGCCGCCTTTGTCTCCCTCGTGGCGATGTTTACACATTTGAGGCTGAGTCGACGGAACAGAGGCCCAGGACCGGTTCAGATAATCGTCACCGGTGTTGGCCGTGAGCGGGAATCGAACTCGTAACGCCGGGTTCGTAGCGCAGCGCTGCACCACCGATCCCCAAACAAACACACACAAACCCGAACACGAGTTCCCAGCTGATCGTGGAACTGAAATCGCCGAGAGCACATGGCTGTGCGCCGGCGGAGGTGAGGTTAACATTTCCTCCTAAGCTCCCTCCACCACAGACCACGAAAATTTTATTATTTCTCGCCGAAAACTTGAGAAATCTCGCGGGTTCGGCCAAGACTGATTGACCACCCCTGCTCTTATCTGGCCAACACACGTTCGCTTGCACACTAACGCACATACACACACACACATACACACTTACACAATCTCACACACGCACAATCTCACACACACACTCGCCCATGCACTCATTTAACACACCACACACTCACTCACACAAAGACTGTAGGGGCAAGTGCTTTTAGCGAGCACCTATGAAGGCCGGAATGGCACACGAGGGGGTGGGTGGCCAGCACCACGTCCGACCGCCTTTGTCTCCCTAGTGGCGATGTTTACACACCGCACCAGGCACTCATTTGAGGCTGAGTCGACCTAGGGGAGGCTCAGTACCAGTTCATATTATTGTCACTGGTGTTGGCCGTGAGCGGGAATCGAACCCGTGTCGCCGAGTCCGTAGCGCAGCGCGCTAACCACACTAAACTACCGCTCCAAAGACAAAGAGACCACACACACACACATGCTCACACACACACATGCTCAATCACAAACTAACAAACCATCACACGCACTTCACACTTGCACCATCACTCACTCACTCATACCCCCTCCCCAACAGCAACTGAAGTCACCGCCACTAAGCGGCGCTCGTGCCAAGCTAGGTGCACGTTGAGGGCGTCGCGTGCAGTGTGGAATGCTAGCTGCTGGCAGGCGCGAAACAGCTGCAGCCCGTCAACGGCTCAACAGCGCCCTGCCGTCAATGGCAGTGGTTCGCCCACCCCGGCACTAACCCAGGCTCAACCGCTGCTCAGCGTCCGAGATCGAACCAGGCCGGTGAGGCGCACGACAAAACGGGGGAAATGCACATTTCGGGAACTCGACGTCCGTCCGAGGCTTTAACCGACACGTGCTCAGATTGGCAGACCAAACGATTTGCCCGAGTTCCGCGGTCCTCGATATGTCAAGGTGTTAGCGGGCGATGAATGAGCGTTTTTACACGAGGGAGGAAACGGGAAGCGCCCGGTGAAATCCCACGGGTGCGAGGGGTGGGCGGGTGAGAGCGGCGCTCTATCCCGTTAAAAATGGAACAGTCCACGTTAGTCCACAAAAGCTCGGCTGACACAAAGATGCCACCGCTCCCGCCCCCCCCCCCCCGTACAGCCTTTAACGGACTGTTGGAGGCAAGCAGACAAAGACAAAGGCGCACACGTGCACGTAAAACAAAAGCCCAATTAGTTGTGAAGATTAGCTCGGGGACAGCGCGGTCTAAGACGGGCGATTAGTCTCGCGTCAATCTACGGCGGTTTAACGATCGCGCTGGCTGGCAGCGCCACCTCCTCCTCGTTAGGAGCGCCGCGCGATGGCAGTGGCAGCCGCCCCCCCCCCCCCCCCCCCCCCCGGTTGGACGCCCGCTGGGGTAACGCACGGGGAGTCGTGCTTACTGATGAGCGAAAAAAAGTGGACTCCCATAGAGACGCATAGACCTACATAGAGACCCATAGAGTCACAGAGAAGGACAGACTCGCAGAGACCCAAAGACTCGCGCAGAGACCCACAGATTCGCATGGAAACCCACAGAATCACACGGAGACCCACAGACTCACACAGAACCAGACGTACGTGTGTACGCACCACGTGCATTCTGTATCATTAGTGAGGAGTGGTGGCGCAGTGGTTATGAACCTTGCGACCCAAATTCAATCCCGTGCGCAATGTAAACATGAGCATCGGGGAGACAAAGGCGGCCGGGCGTGTTCTTTTCCATCCACCGGCCTCGTACACCGGGCCGCCCTTCACAGACGGCTCGCTCACAGCACTTGCCCCGACAGTCTGCTGAAGGCTACACGCAGGGAGGGGATCTTTGTCTCCGCGTGCATTAATTACCCCCCCCCCCACTCCCTACAAAAGTCCGAAACGCAGCGACAAACAGCGACAACAATGACAACAACAGCGACCGCATCCAAAAATAGGGAACAGTTGCCAAGGCCGCCGGTGCCTCCTGCGCCTGCCCGCAGGAGTTACTGCCCCCATATCCGTGTTTTCTTCGGAACCGCTCCGGCTCCGCACGGACGTCACGACGGCGACCTTGCGAGTCCCCGGGTCGCCCTTCCTCCGGCTTCCCGCGATTGTTCGGCTGCTACCTGGGACCATGCCCCACACCTCCCAACCCGCACCCCTTCTCCCACCCTGCCCCCCCCCCTCCCACACCTCCCCAGCCCATGCCCCGCCGTACGTTTCACTGCTCCACATCGCTCCACGCTGACCCCCATCTCGCCGCACTCATCCGCGTCGCTCCACACTCATCCACACCACTCCCAACCGCTTCCTATCGCTTTGGCGTTGGTCCCCATTGCTCGATATTGCTCCCCGTTGCTCGCCGTTGCTCTCATCGCTTCCCATTGCTCCACGTTGCTTCCCGTTGCTCCCCATTGCTTCCCATTGCTCCCCGTTGCTCCCCATTGCTCGACATTGCTTCCCATTGCTTCCCGTTGCTCCCCATTGCTCCCCATTGCTTCCCATTGCTCCCCATTGCTTCCCATTGCTCCCCGTTGCTCCCCATTGCTCGACATTGCTTCCCATTGCTCCCCATTGCTCCCATTGCTTCCCATTGCTCCCGATTGCTCGACATTGCTCCCATTGCTTCCCATTGCTCCCCGTTGCTCCCCGTTGCTCGACATTGCTCCTATTGCTCCCCATTGCTTCCCATTGCTCGACATTGCTCCCATTGCTCCCCATTGCTCCCAATGCCCCCCATTGTTCCCCATTGTTCCCCATTGCTCCCGATTGCTCGACATTGCTCCCATTGTTGCCCATTGCTCCCGATTGCTCGACATTGCTCCCCCCATTGCTCGACATTGCTCCCTATCGTTTCACCATCACCCGGTTCCATTTAATGAGCGTTTGGCTTCCGCAGGATAGCGGCGAGCCCGGGGAAAATAAAATAAAACCCACCGCCGCAACTGTACACGGGGGGCGGTCTCTCTTCTCCTGGCCACGCCTCGCAGGCCAAGCCTATGGCACCTGGTATTGCAGGCAGTCTCTGATCCGCGTAGCGACCCGGACTCCAGCCTGCCCCAGCCTCCACGATCTAGAGTTGGGGTCCTGTTGCGACCTCGCTGCTGTCGGTCGAAATCAGCAGTCGCTCGCTGACCCAGCGGCAGCCAGCCGGCTCCCCGTCGCTCTCCCATCGCTACTAGTCACACCCGCGTTGAGGGCTCGGTCTCTACCAGACACCGACTGTTTCATCTCAAACAGCACGACCACCACACTGCAGCTCATAACCGCACACTCACCCGCTCACTCACCCACTCAAAGACACAGATTCCCCGTGTAGCCTTAACAGACGGTTGGGGGAAAAGTGCTGGAAGCGGGTAGCACCTATTAAGGCCACCACGGTACACGAGGGGGTGGGTGGCCAACCCACTCACCCACTCACTACACTGCAGGTCAATTCACTTTTCTTGATCTCTGCTTCTTTACTTACACGGCTGCTCTACTCTGGAACCCCAAGATTTTATACAACAACGGCAAATATTTTCTCAAGTCTAGAAACGCGTGAAACTCTCATCTCTCACAATGTTGATGCCGGTGCTGTTTGTTGCTGGCCCACTCGATTCTTCAGGCCATTGGGCAGTCCGTGCTCAACAACCATATCAAGTAAAATAAAAAACTAACAAACTATGAACAATTTTTATGTTCACCAGCTAAGGCCCAATGAGCTACGTGGCTATTTTTCAGAAGCAACTCGGCCACAAATGCTAGCTCAACGAAGTGGCTTATATCATCGCGTGGAAATTTATAGCAGGCAAATGCTCTAAACGCGTGATGTTGATTCTAAACGTGTAGGCAAAAAACCGGAAGACCCGGAGTAAAAACCCACGCGACCACGGGAGAACACGCGAACTGAAAATACCCAGCGGCAGGCGTCAGGTTTGGGATTGTAACCCACGACATGCTGCCACCTTTGCGCCCCACACAAAGGAACTGTGGGTGAAGTCGCCAACGTCCGGAGTAGCGCCGAGCGCGACGCGCTATGCAAGCCCGGCAAGCGCCGGTCACCCGCGGCGTATGTCGGGGGGGGGGGGGGCCGGGGGGGCACCGCGGTCCTTATCAGGTGCAGCCAGAACTTTACATCTCCATTTTTTTTCAAATGAATAACCCGAATCTGAGCCGCAAATCCCCATGGCAACGCTGCCTTCCAAATTGATTGGCGGGCCGATTGTGGCCCAGTCCATTGTGATGTCATCGTCGGGCGGGGCATGGCAGGGCAGGGCAGGATTGGGGTCGAAGGGACGATCGCAGGTGGAGGCTACCAGACGAAATGCTGTGCGGTCGCATCGCTAAAATCCATCCACGGTGTAGTGGAATTCTATCGTTCACTCCCGCGGTGCATACATAGAGCCAGAGGGTCGAGCAGATAGCCGTAGAGTTACGCAGTGAGCACCATTGACTCCCCATAATATAAAGTCGCCCACTTCTGTAAACCGTCTGGAGATGCGGTAACATTTGAGACGCCATGAATGTCCACGTTGCGTTACGGTTGTATTTCGACACCCGTAGCGCAATTGGATTAAATCAGTTTCAAGGACAATGCATATATTTTCATAGTATGTTTTTTTGTTTGCATTTTGACTGCAGGTATTGTGGTTACTGCAGACATGAGTCCTTGTAAAAAGGTTTCAGTTTTGTTGCCTGAAAAAAGGGGAAAAACCCTATTATTACATTTTGGTACTGGCAAAGGAGGTCTAATGATCTCACCATGATGTCAACTTGTAACGTGCCGTCGCTGCACAGCATTCGCTCATCGCTCTCGTCGAGATGACGACAACAGAGCCACAGACGAGCGGGAAGGCGGCAGCAGCCAGCGCCAACGGCAATTTCCCAAGCTCTGTGGTCCTCTATATATTACGATGTGTTTAGCCAATCAATGAGTGTTTTACATGTGGGAGGGACACCAGGGCACCCTGGGAAAACCCATACATGCGAGGGGGCAACACTCTATCCCCGTACAGAAGGAACAGGTGGAGTACATATTTGCTGTACCGCCGTCTCCTGGCAAGGCAGGGTACGGCACCTCCTTGATGACCCCCACGGGGGAAGGGAGTTTCAACAACATCAGTGTGGTGTGCCACCAACCCTCGCTGCTTGCTCCACCGCATAGCCACCACCGCCAACCATGCCCCCACACCCCCGCACCCACCCGACACGCCGCACGATTGTGAATCCTCACCGAGGCTTCCTCCGTCTCCTCGGAGCCGACGGACGAGATGCTGCCCAGGCGACTTCGAAGGTCGAATCCTCCGAAGCTGCTGTTTCTCTGCGGAGGGGGAAAATAACACATTGACGTTTTAAAATATACAAAATACATAACGCGATAACAAGAATCGATTTTGGTCGATGTCGCAAAGCGTTGTCACGCTCCGACAATGACCGCATTCTCCGGATTACAGCGGTGTGCCTCAAATGCCCAGAACTTGCCCGGTGATAGCAAAGCCCGATCTGGTTTCAATCCGATTGGCCGATTTCCTGCGAGGAGGCCATGACCCTCGGTGAAGGAGGCGGGTCACAGGTGACGCGGTCACACGCGCACGCCTGCCGGACTACGAGATGCACCCCTGACTTTAGCGTTACTGTCCCCATGGCTGTCCATTCGAGGGGGGTGGGGGGGGGTGGGGATGTGGGGCCCGGGGCAAATCACACTGTGGGCTCCTCGCTGATGCCTTAAAATTAAACCGGAAGTATTACATCCGACACCGTGAGGTCGAAGCACCGGGGGCCCCCCCAAAGCTCGGGGCCCGGGGCAGTCGCCTTACCCCTAGGGGAGGGCCTCTGGCTGTTCGGGAAGGGGGCGTAAATACGGCGTCGTAATCCAGAGAACACGGCAGCGGATGTCAACATTCATTTTCATTCGATCGCATCGATGCCCGGGACCAGGTTGGCACTTTCATGAATTGTGTAGAAACCCCATTAGTATATTTGGCTGATTTAGCAGCGTCGGCGGCGATCGGAGACATTGGCGTAACCTTCGTGAAATTATTTGACGGAAATGGCGTTTGGCCACAGATTGGAAAACGCCACTTTAGCAAAAAGAATTAACAATTAAAACCCCTAAAAAGGCTTGAATGAACGGCAAACCTATTTTCGAAATGGTACGAACAGGGCCCCCTGTCCAGTTGGTGAGCCAGCAGCAGAGCGAGCGGCTCTGTAGCGAAAGTCGCGAGTTCACATCCTAGTCATGGGGCGCATCGTTATCCCTCCCCTTCGGGGTCGTTAAAACGAGTACCACTTTGTGGGGAAATCAACAGCGGTTGTTCCGTGGATTTACTCGCCCCACCCCACAATAGGAATGTGGAATTTCCACCGCTCGTTCTGCAAAGGGCTGTACACAACAGACGGACGCTGATGTCTCACGGCTCATTTCGAGCAGGAAATCACTCAAACTATGAACGCTTACTCTGCACCGTCATACAGCATTGTGGGTAGTAAATCATTAATTAACGGACACACAAAAAATCTTCTCTCCACGCCAATATAAATTCTGGTATAAAAAGGCATCAATAATGTGTATACTTTGAGTAGCATTGGTATTAATAGGCCCGACAGCTCAAACAGATTCATCTGGCCAACATGACAGCATATATTTCAAGGGGCCGAAACAGCGATGGTTGCCGTACTGCCATGAGAATGGGCTCCACGGTGTTCGAGGAGTGCTCCCGCCGGTAGCAGGCGGCGTCGCGAGCCAGCGGCATTTGTTTAATTCGAGGCCGGGCCCCTCTGCTCACGAGATCCCAGAAAGTCGAAGCCGAGTCCGGAATTCGCGTGCAAACCGTCCGTAGCGGAGCGGTCGCACGGCCTGACGGACGAGGGAAACGTTTAAACAATAACGAGGGTCATTTTGTCCTCGGGAGGACGAGCGTTTGTCCATTTTGCCGAAATTATTTTTTTGCCACGCAACTCGGCCAACGGGCGTCGATTCATCTCGTCGGGACTTTCAACGAGCCCCGTCGTTGAAAGCAGAGAGACGAGTCCGCGTCGAAGCGGCCCCCCCCGCGCTCGAGCGAGCGACTTCGCCTCCCCAGCGGCGTCGCGCGCCGGCGTCACGCGTGTGACGCTCATGCCTGCACGACGACGGAGCGCTGGGGATGATGCGGCGGGCACATGCAGCGACAACGACGACGGCAACAACAACAACAACAACCACCACCGACGGTCACCACCAAGTGGGGGTGACGTCACCGAAGGCGCTTGTGCCATGCTCGGTGCACTTGGGGGCGCATGCGTGCACGGGACGCACGATGCAGTGCAGACACGCAGACGGACAAGGTGTAGCCCACACGGTCTGTTGGGGCAAAGTGCTGTTAGCGAACGAGCACCTACGCCAACACACGAAGATATATTTAAAGATGCCCGCCCCCCCCCGCCTCCCCCCGTGTAGCCCACACATGCTGTTGGGGCAAGTGCTGTTTGCGAGCTGGCACGGCAGGCACACGGGGGGGGGGGGGAGGGGGGGGTGGCTAGGACCGTGGACATACGATGCACACACATTCAAACAGCTAGCATGTAAAACCGCAAACACCGACACATGAACAACATCACGCAATACCTACAAAGATCCCCCGTACAGCCTTGAACAGACTGTTGGGGCAAGTGCTGTTGGAGGGCGCCTATTAAGGCTGGCATGGCACACCGAAGGGGGTGGGTCGGGTCAGAAACACGCCCGACCACCTTTGTCTCCCCAGTGCTGCACTGGGTACTCATTTAAGGCTGGGTCGACCTAGGGGAGCCCCATGACCGGTTCGGATATTCGTCACCGACACTGCAGTGGTAGGGTTCGTAGCAGACGGCGCACGAACCACTACACTATCACTACCGACACTCACGCACACATTCACACACTCGCATGCACATGCACGCTCACATACTCACATGCTCACACGCACATACTCACATACTCACACACGCTCATACGCTCACACTCACTCACACAAGCGCATACGCTCACACTCACACGCTCACACTCACATACTCACACACGCTCATGCGCTCACACTCACTCACACGCGCACACGCTCCGCACGCGGCAGGAAGTGTCATCGCACTGAACCGAAAAAACGAGACGCACAGAATAATTTGCAGAAAAAAACTGGCAAAAACGGGAAGCACATTTTTGTGTTTTAGGAATACATTCCTCTTTTTTTGTCAAACAAGCATCGACCCCCCCCCCCTACCCCCCCCCCCCCCCCCAATAAAAAAAACAAACAGGGCAAGCGTTTTTTTGTGGGTCTTGAACATGCGTGGGATTTGTTTCCGCGCAATAACCGCTGGGGTGGAGGAGGGGGATTGTTGTACAGTTACGGAAACACGCGGAAACAAACAAAAAAACGACGACCGCAAAATAATATGATGGCAGGTGCGGTAAATTAGAGCCACAGAGAGACAAACATTAAACCCCGGGGTCAAATATACGAGTTTCACTTTGACAGAATCGGACGAGCGACAAGCCCAAAGGGCCCCCCCCCCCCCCCCCCCCCCCCCCAAAACAACGAGGCCCAGAGTGGCCAGGAACAAGCAGCACCGATTGTCAACATTTTGTAATTGGGCAAGAGCGTCACACGTCTCTTGAATCGAGCGAGGTCGTTGTCGTTCGTAGAGGTTGAGGCGGAAGAGGGGGGGGAGAGAGAGATGGCTTTAACGATGATAATGGACGGGAGGGGAGGGAGGTAATTCTTAAGTGGAGCGGTGTGAGGGAAGACGCACCAGGATGAGTGAGGTGACCTGCAGTGCGCTCAGTGGGTTGGGTGAGTGTGTTGTGGTGGTGGTTGGGGTTTGAACACAGTGTGGTGGTGGTGGTGGTTGGGGTTTGAACACAGTGTGGTGGTGGTGGTTGAACACAGTATAGTGGTGGTGGTTGTGGTGGTTGTGGTGGTAGTGGTTGAACACAGTATAGTGGTGGTAGTGGTGGTTGTGGTTGAACACAGTATAGTGGTGGTGGTGGTTGTGGTAGTGGTTGAACACAGTATAGTGGTGGTTGTGGTGGTTGTGGTTGAACACAGTATAGTGGTGGTGGTGGTTGTGGTAGTGGTTGAACACAGTATAGTGGTGGTGGTGGTTGAACACAGTATAGTGGTGGTGGATGATGAAACAGTGAGTGTCTGTTAGGCCGTGGGTGGTGGTTGAACACAGTATAGTGGTGGTGGTGGTTGTGGTGGTAGTGGTTGAACACAGTATAGTGGTGGTGGTGGTAGTGGTTGAACACAGTATAGTGGTGGTGGATGATGAAACAGTGAGTGTCTGTTAGGCCGTGGGTGGTGGATGAATCGACGAGCGAAGTTCCACGGCAACAGTAACCGTGGTGATGGTGGTGGTAGCAGCAGCGACAGAAGAGTGATAGGAAGTTAGCTGCCCACCAGGGCGTGAGTTGCAGGCGTGAATCATGGCTTGGCGAGGTGGGAACTGGGTGCTGCACCCCAGATATCGCAGCAGCGTTACACCGCAGGACGACTCTGTGCTGCGTACAGCAGCGGCGGTCATAATTCTTCGGAGCTGAAGAGGCCTTGGCAAGACGCAAGAAGCCTCCCTGGCCAGATGAGCAGCACGTCCTCGCCAGGGCCGTTAATTGAGAGTGTTGCACCGAGGAGATTCATGGGGCGATGGGTGAATAGAGCGTGGGGAGAGACGCAAGCGGAGAGACGCAGGCAGAAACGGGTAGACGTGCGGGGGACATGTGGAGAGACGGAGACACACAGGGACGCACGGGGAGACACAGAGAGACACACAGGGACACACGGGGGGAGACACACAGACACACAGGAAGGCAGTGAGAGAGGGGGGCAGAGGATGGGGAACAGCGAGGCGGAAGGAGCCGCGACCTCTCATCGCTCCCAGTTTGTTTTTTCCACCACCGATTGCCGTCTCACCACGCAACTAACAAAGCCACGGGGGGGAAGGCGATGAGTTGATGTTGTGACGCGTTGATGTCGTGACGCGTTGATGTCGTGATGAAGCCGAGTAAACAGCTCCGGCCAAGGTCGTCAACAATGTCCCAGGTCCAGTCAAGCGTCAGGGCCACGACCTTCCCCTCGCCCGCACGAGCGTAGGGTGCTCAACGGTCGCTGGCTAAGGGCTCCCCCAGCCTTCAATGGCGGAAAATTCCACATTCCTATGATGGGGGATATCATGGCCATAGCATGACCACTGTTCACCGCCGATAAAGTGGCCGCTCATTGTCGTAACCCCGGGTGGATGATAATGATGATGATGAAACTGATTATTCACGTTATAACACTGATGATAACGATGCAGTGATGGCTGATGATG